CGACGCGAAATCGAGCTTCGAGAGATCTAGAGTCGCTCATAAGATGCCCCCACGAGGTTCATGAGAGGATCAAACATTCCTCCCCAGAGGCCTCCGAGAGTCGTCCGAAGAGACCCCCAGAGGCATGTCCCAGGACTCTGGCGAGGAGCAGGAGAAAGAGGAGGAGAAGGAGGAGCAGGAAGAGGAGGAGGAGGAGGAGAAGGAGGATGAGGGAAAGAAGGAGGAGGAGGAGGAGGAAAAGGAGGACAAGGAGGAGGATGAGGAAAGGAGAAGGAGGAGCAGGGGGAGGAGGAGGAGGAGGAGGAGGAGGAGGAGGAGGAGGAGGAGGAGGAGGAGGAGGAGGAGAAGGAGGAGGAGGAGGAGGAGGAGGACGACGACGACGACGACCACGTCAGCGTCGTCGTCGTCGCCGCCGCTGCCGTTGTCGTCGTCGTCGTCGTCGTCGTCGTCGTCGTCGTCGTCGTCGTCGTCGTCGTCTCTTCCTTCAGGGTCGGCGGCACCGCGGCACTGGTCGTGAGGCCTGCGCGACCCGATCCTCGATGGACCGAAGGTCTCTCTGGTCGGCTACACGCAGGAGTGACCCTGGGTAAGAGTGACATCTGGTGCGCGGCACCTTGGGGGCCGGCGGCGACGAGGGCCTCCAAGGAGGCCCAAAGAAGGGAAGGGAAAACGAGGGAAGGGTAGCAGTATGGGTACCCGTGCCTCCTCTGAGGGCCCGACCCCCTCGGGGGCTCTCCGTAAGCTCTGGGATTCTCAGCGTGCAGCGCACGGCTCTCGGCGGCCCCGGGGCCCACGTCGGCCTTCGGAGGGAGGCGCCAAGCGGGCCGCGGGGGGGACCAAACACGAGTGCGCAAGACGCCACTATCGCATCGCGTTCGGTGATGGGGGCGGCCCCTATGGGCGCGGCCCGCACTGAAGGTCCCTCTGGCGATGGGTCGCTCTGTCGTGTACCGTGGAGGCCAGTCCACAAGAACCCTTCCACACGAAACCCAACCCCTAGACCCCGGGACGTGCATTGCTCCCTGGTGCGGGAACGCCACGCGCTCCATCGCAAAACCATCGAGACCCGAGAAACCCGGGGCACCCTGGAGGCGAGCAGGGTGTCTCTTGGCATGGGCCCCCCCTGCACTCGACATGAAACTTCCAAGCCCATCTCGGGTCGGGCGAAAGGGGGGGATAGTAAAGGGGGGGTTTGAGAATCAGCTCACGTAGCTGATTTTCCCGGCGCCTCCTGGCGCCGGAGGCGCCCATGCATCGAGGAATGGGCCCCTCGGCGGGGCCGAAACCAGCTGCATGCAGCAAATTTCGTAACCCCCCCTTTCCCAATCCTCCCCTTTCGCCCGGCCCGACCATCTCAGGGGGCGCCATCCCGGCACCCGGGGCGAGTGGCGGAGCCGCCGGGCTCGGCAGACGCGGCGCGCTCGGCCAATGAACCCCTCGCTGCCCATCGGCCAGCAGTCGTTGCCTCCTCCTCCTCCTCCTCCTCCTCCTCCTCCTCCTCCGCCTCCTCCTCTCCCTCCCCCTCCTTCCTCCTTCCTCCTCCTCCCTCCTCCTCCTCTTCCTCCTCCTTCTCCTCCTCCTCCTCCCCTTGCCCCTTGCTCGTCCTCCTCCTATCCCAGGCTTCGTGGCGTTTTCAAATGGACCAGAAAGTTGGGGCCCAATCCTGGGATGTATACGATGAGGGGCGTCCATCCTCCATAGGGGTGGGTCCGAATAGCCACATTGGGGTGTGGCACAGGGTTTCACTCCTTTCGAAAGCGCCTCATTTTTCGTCGAGAAATCGGGGCGTGGGGGAGAAAGTCGCCTGCGAGTCTTCAATCTTCGGCGGTGTCCTGACGGCCTGCGGCGCGAAAGCTGAACGGCTGCGTTCGACGGGGGGCCCCCGCGAACGAACAACCAGACGAACCGGGGGGCACCGGCGGAGCCACGAGGGGATCAGAGGGAACGTCAGCGGGGGGCCGTGTCAGGAAGGGAAACATCGAGCTGGAATCGGCGATACACCGCCAAGAGATCGGCGACGGGCCCCCGATTGCGAAACCGACCGATCCCGCCCCCCCACGTTGCTCATGAATCGTCTGGCTCTCGCAGCCTCACTCGGCTCCCTGGCGGCCGTTCGGGACGATCCGGGCACCCTCGAAAGGCTCTCGGCGAGGCGCAGCCGCTGGAAGGCATCTCGAGGCTCAGTGCTGTCGAGAACCGACGAAGACGCTCGAAAACCTCGGACCTCGAACCTCGGAACTTCGTCCCCCTGAGCCGATCTTCTTGGGCAGGCCGGAGGCGCAAGCGCGGAATCTTCGTCAGAGCGAGCTGCACCAGCACGGCATCCGAAGCGGATCGGCTGCGCCAGGCTGCACCACAACGCCCTGCTAGCATCTCGGGCCGCATCGGACCGTCGGAATAACGAAATCTAGGGAAACCAAAAGGTACAGGGGATGTCGTCCCAAAAGAAACCGTCCACAAGAAACCCGACCCTGAGACCCCAGGACGTTCATGGATTTTTGGTGTGGGAGCGTCACGCTGTCCACAGCAAAACCACTGGAACCAAAGAAAACTATGGCACCCTGGAGGCAAGCAAGGCGTTTCTTGGCATGGGCCCCCACTGTACCGATACCGCAACTCCCCAGACCTCTGCCGAGGTGCATTCTGCCCAGGATTTCGAGGCGAATCCAGCGGTAGCGACGAGGGCCTCCGTGGAAGCCCAAAAAAGGGAGAGCGAGGAAGGGGTAGAAATAGGGGTACATTTCCTCCTCGGAGAATCGCACCAGATCGGGCCGGGCCGCCCGAAGCCGACATCGAATCGCACCGATCGTATCGGATCGAGGCGGCCCCAACGCTGCCCCCGAGGGGAGCGGCCGAGCCGCGGGGGCGAGAGCGGCGGAACCATGAGGAAAAGGAGCAGGATGATGAGGACGGGGAGGAGGACGAGGAGGAGGACGAGGAGGGGGAGGAGAAGGACAAGGAGGAGAAGGAGGAGGAGGAGGAAGAGGAGGAGGAGGACGAGGACGAGGAGGAGGACGAGGAGGAGGAGGAGGAGGAGGAGGAGGAGGACGAGGAGCAGGAGGAGGAGGAGCAGGAGGAGGAGGAGGAGGAGGGGCGAGCGCCAGTGGCCGCGGGCTCCGAGATGGACCCAAAGAGGGCGCCAAGAGGCGACTTGTGGAGCGCGCGAGGGACCCTCAGTGACCCCCCCTTCTTCTGCGGCGAGCGAGGGGGGAAATGAGAAGGTGAAGGCCTTCTCAAAAGGCGGCTGGACTTCGCAGAAGCCCTCGCGCCTTCTGAGAAGTTGTGTTTTGTCCTCAGGGAAGGCTTAAAACACTTCTCAGAAGGCTGGTGGACTTCTCCTTCTCACTTCCCCCCTCGCTCGCCGCCGACTTCCTTGATCGATGTTCTCCTAGGCAGTCACAAAGACGGCCCCCAAGGCGCCCGAGAGTGCCACAAGGACGCCCAAAGAGGCCCCGCAGAGGCCCCGCAGAGGCCCCCGAGATGCACCGAGAGAGGCCCCCAAGAGCCCCCAAGAGCCCCCAAGAGGCCTCCAAGACGCCCTAAGAGGACACACCTGGAGACGACTTCGAGAGGCGTCCAAGAGGCCTCTAGTTCAATGAGGCTCCCCGAGGTATCCAAATCATGCCATGCTCCCCCGATAAAGGGCATGTCCCCTAAGCATCGTTCCTGGATGGACTGGCTCTTCTCCCAAATGGGAATCTCGCTGGACACCTCGTTGGACTATATGATCATACCTTTTCGCATTCCTGACTCTACGCTCCAAGGATACGAAGCACATCCTATTCAAACGGGGCCATAGCCTGAATGGGAGGCCCATAGGGTGCTGGTCCTGCATGGAGGCGCTTCTTGCAACGACAATAAAGGCTCGTATGGACTTCGAGGAGGGGACTTGGGGCGGGAGGGTGTGATGCAGCATCGTTAACGCATCCTGGGTCTACTGCGGTCCCTCCTCCTCCTCCTCCTCCTTCTCCTCCTCCTCCACAGACCCTCGACATCGCAATTTGTTCAAAATGGACCCCCTGGAATCTAGACCCTTTCCGCAAAACCAATTCTTGTCCCGAATCGTTCTCTGACGGTCCCGTGGCCCAACGACGGCCCCGGTCCGAAACTCGCTGCAGGCTCTCCGTCGTGTGTTTCACGACGCGAGGAGGTCTGGGTCCTGCTCCTGTCCCCCCCCCTACCGAGTCTACCGACATTTGCACTATTCCTGGCAACGGTCGCTGCGTAAGGCTCGTGTCGTGCCGACTTCGGCGTTGGTTTCTGGCACCGCGGGCATCGTTCAACCATGAACGATCGGCCGTTTCCGAAACGTCCAAATCGTTCCATATCGAACGACTCTGGGTCGCCCGCGGCGTTCAACATTGAACGCCGCTGGCGGGGTCGCAACCGGTCGACACGACCTGAACCTACTGTATCTGGGGGGTGGATCAGGGCCCCGGGGAGCGGCAACCCTTGAGAGGTGTGGGGCAAGTCGGGGTGGGGGTGCGATGCGATCGCCATAATCTGCCCGCGAGTGCCAGCATGTGGGCGGGGGGGTTCGACTCCCCCCCACGCCCCTTTCGGCTACACGCAAGAGTGACCCTGGGTAAGAGTGACCGTGGATGCGCGGCTTTGGGGGGCCGTGGGGTGGCCAAACACAAGCGCGCCACTGCCGCCTCGAAATCAGCGATCGGGGGACCCCCTTGGGCCCGCACCAGGGGCCACTCTGGCAAAAAACGCTCTTACTTCTGCAAGCGACGCTACCAAAAACCGGGCAACGACCGGGTAGCGACCGCTACGCGCCAGAGGAGAAGGAGGAGGAGCAGGAGAAAAAGGAGGAGGGGGAGGAGGGGGAGGAGGAGGAGGAGGGGGAGGAGCAGGAGGAGGGGGAGGAGGAGGGGGAGGAGGAGGAGGAGGAGGAACAATCTCCCCGTCCCCGCCCGGCTCCAGGCTGGGCCTGGTGTGCCCCGTCGGCGCTCCGACCCCCCAGGCGGTCTCGGAACGGGCGGGAGGGGCCGGGCCTCGGTCGGCTGCGCCTGCACCGTGCTCACGGCGTTCAGGTGGGACGACTGGTTCTGGGCCGGAGGGGCGTCCCAAGGACGGGGGCGTCCGAGAGGGGTGGCAGCAGATCCCGGCCCGAGGACGGTTTGGAACAAGAGGGACAATAAGAATTTGAAGATGATTCTATAATAACATTATTCGAAGAAGTAAGAAAGAAGCTGTATACTAGTAGTTTTTTAAAAGTAATAGCAATACTAACCATGCTAACAAGAAACAGAAAATTAATACTACAAAAAAGAAAAAGAAAACTATAGCAAGAAGAAGAAGGATAAGAAGAATAATAAGAAGAACGGACCATCAGATCTGGGGAGACCCCACCAGCCAATGAGGTCGTGAGTGGCTTGAGGCGTTTCCTCTTCCACCCCCCTTCGTCCCCCTTCGGGTGAAGGGGTGTTACTTAGATGTTGGGAGGGCGTGTGGGAGTGAGCTGGACAGCTTCCTATCTAGGAGGGTAGCTTGATCACTGTTCCCTATTAGTATACACCCCCTCTCCCTCCCGGCCGGCGGCCAACCCGGAACCATGCCAACCCCATGAGGGCCAGCCCCCCACCATCAGTGTCAAACAACAGTACAAAACGCACTCTGCCTCCACATGTGGAGCATGCGCGGCCAACACGATGCGGCCCCCCCACCATCCCTGTCAACAGAATAATGCAAATTACACTCTGGGGCAAAGTCTTGAGTCATGTTCGTGAGGCCCTGAAACACTTTGCATTGTTCTTTGAGAGACACGGCGGGGGTGCCAGCATATTCCCTGCCGTGCGCAGGGCTAAGATCCCTGCCACACAAACAGTACAACATGCACCTCGCGGCTCAATCTGGATCATGCGCGGCCATCCCGCGATCACTGTCAAATGGTTTTTGACAGGGACCGCGGGGGTGGTGGCGCGTGGCCTGCTGTGCGTGGGCCCACAAGACACAACGATGGGCATTGGTTTTCGACAGGGATGGCGGGGGCCGACATGTTTCCCGATGTGTGCTGTCGCGTGCGCAGGCGCACCTGACGCACATTGCACGTGCCCAGAACATGGCGCACCTGGCGCGGCCGGAGTGTGCGGCACACCTGGCGCACTCGGAGCACGAGTGCGGGGGGAGGAGGAGGAGGAGGAGGAGGAGGAGGAGGAGGAGGAGGAGGAGGAGGAGGAGGAGGAGGAGGAGGAGGAGGAAGAGGAGGAGGAGGAGGCGTACGAATCTGGCGCACAAGGCGTGCCTGGCACCCTCGGGCCCCAGAGGTGCCCGGCGCGCGCGGCGCCCCCGGCCCGCGTGGCGCACCTCGCCCCAGCGTCGCGCACCTGGGGTCGGCTTTCGTTCCCAGTAGCTGACCATCCAAAGGCGACCGCTGAACTGACTACCTACCAGACCACCCCAACCCAACCCGAAGACCCGAATTTCGGGTTGGGGGGGGCAAGGGTTCCATACGTGTTTTTTCGATGGTTCCCGACCCCCCCCCAACTGGAAATCGAGGGTAAATTTGAGCCTTCGGGTTGGGTTGGGGTGGTTTGGTGGGTGGTGATGAACATGCTCAGGCTCGGGTGTTACTTCTATGTGGAGAGGGCGGGTGGGAGTGAGCTAGACGGCTTTCGGGCGGGCGAGTGGCTTGACCCCTCCCCCTGCCCCTTCCCCCTGGAGGTGGGGGAGGGAGGCGAGGTGTGAGAGGGTGTTTTGGGGTTCAAGATGGCTCCAAGAGGGCCTCCGAAAGCCCACATTACCTCCAACATGACGCGAGATCGCTTAAGACGGCTTCCAACATGCTCTGATAGACTCCAAGACCAGTCCAAGGTGGGTCCAAGTGGCCTCGGAGCCTCCCAAGGGGACCCATAAGAGACCAACATCTTTCAAACACCAAAAGCAGATTAATGAGTTTAGCCTTCTTGCATTTTCGCGTCCGATGGGCTCCCGAGGCATCAAGATGCCTCCAAGAAGGCCCAAGAGGGCCCCAAGAGGGGCACAAACCGGTCTCAAGACGGCCCCAAGAGTGCCCAAGGGCGCCCTAAGACGGCCCCTTTGGGAGCTCCAGAGCGGAGGCACAATTTAAGTACCAACCCTCGTTGATCAACGACTATTTTTAAGCAACGGCGTTGGCGGATGTTGGCTGTTCACGGGGATCGTTGGGAGACTGTTGGTCCAAGAGGGCTCCAAGATGGCCCCTGATGCTTCAAGATTGCCTCCAAGATGGCGCGAGGTGGCCCAAACTTGGCTCAAGATGGCCTCCAAGAGGCCCCATGATGGCCCCATGATAGCTCAAAATAGCGACGGAGACTCCCAAGGAGGCTCCCAAGATGCACAAATCCATTCAAAACCCTAGGGAAATCCATGATAGTGGCCTTCTCGCCTTTTCGCTTCCAATAGGCTCCCGAGGCCTCATGATGGCTCGGAGAGATTCCAAGAAGGGACAAGAGGGCCCCGAGACAGCCCCAAGATGGCCCCAAGACGTCCCCAAGAACGCACCAAGAAAAAAGTGGAACATGTGGGAGGAAACCTTGGGAGCTCCAGATAGGAATTTGGGGGACTGTGGGAGCTTCAGATAGGCGAAAATTTTGTGAAACGGGGAGGGAACTTCGGGCCCGAGAAACCCCAAGAGGAAACTTTGGGACCTCCAGATGGGCGAGGCAAATCAACGACCCCAAGATGTTCCTCCAAGATGTTCCCAAGAAGACCTCCAAGGCCCTCAAGAGGGCCCCAAGAAAATTCCAAGCGTACCCCAAGAGGCGCCCAACCGGCCCCAAGAGGTCCCAAGACGTCCCCAAGAGGGTCCCAAGCACCCCTCAAGGGGCCCCGCCACGAGTGACACAAGACGCCACAAGAGGCCTCTGGCCCGTCTGCTCGCCCTTTTCCTTTTCCTTTTCCGCCAAGTTCTCCTCCTTTTCGCTCCTCCCTCCTCCGCCCTCCCCCTTTATGACGGCTCCCCCAGCCTTTTATTCCACTGCATGCCCCTCCACATCCTTGATCAATCGAACTCGCCTAGGCATCGGTTTTGGATGGGATGGTGGGGTTACGCGGAACGTCTGGCATGCCGTGACACTGGTCATAGGTTCCCCAAACCCTAGTCATCACCCCACTCTCGACGCCCCCGACTTGAGCGGCAAGATCGGCCAACATCGTATCATCGAATCGGAATCTGCGTCACATCGTGATGCATCCGTCGAGCGCACGCTGACGTGGACCGAGGATCCGTGGGTCTGGCGCGCGGGCGCCAGATCCACGGACCAGGGAAAGTGCCACCCGAAAGATGAAGCCTACACCCTGCGAAATGCTTAAGAAATCATGGGTTAAGAAATTCAGAGTCTCAGAACTTGAATAAAAAAACCCAACATTTCTATTAAAATCTTAAGACTTACATTAAAACGTTAAGAATAATCGAGACTCTGGCCGAAAACTTAAGTTTTCTTAAGCATCGCCTAAGGTGTATGCCGCCTGACTTGGCGACGGTGTGCGCCGGTGTCGCGTGGAGGCGGGGCCTGTCGCTAATCCATGCGCCCGAGTCCGCATGTGCGTGCCCTCGAATCGCTACGGGGGCGACGTCGGCTCGGACCGGCTGCGCCAAAAGGATGCATAACAACTCTATGCGAGCATCGAGCCGCATCGTGAGCAGAGACCGGCCGTCCCCGCATTCGCAGAAGCCCACCACGGCGGTTCCTGAGACCAAGCGAATGCTAGCCAATGTGGGCCCCAAACAGTGTGCCGAGCAACATCGGCTGTGCAAAACAAAAATGTGGGGCACCTACGTGGTGCAAAATAAAGATTGGGCACTACAGGTTGTGCAATGTATGCTGTGTAACCTATGATGTGCAGATACAGTGGTCCGATCTAAAAGGTACAACACGAGTGGTGAAATCTGCGTGGTGCGATCTATGCTGTGCAACCTGTGGTGTGCAATAGATGATTTGCGATTTATGTTGTGCGCTGTATGCGGTGCAATCTATGAGATGCACGTCACCATACAATGTTAGCAACCCAACAGCTCGCGCAACCACCCCGCCCACCCACCCGCCTCGTGGTTTGCAAAACCCATGCGGCGGCGATTGCGAGGACTGCTTGGCATTCGCTGGTGCATCACTGCGGCCGCGCTGGCCCACGCAAGTTCGCGAGCGCAGCGGCCAGCTAGTGCGGCGCGACCGACGCAGCCGCGGTGGCGCTGACCGCAAGGCATTTCCCGGCGGGCACTTCAATGCGAATCTATGATTTGGGCGGGCGCGGTATCATGGCGACACCGGCAACCGTAGACAGGATAATGAAAGTAGCGATGATGGCGACGATGGTGGCAATGACGACGGCAAGACCAATGACAGCGCCGATGTTGACCGCGCCCGCAAATAACGATGACGGTGTCCTCGCGTTGGATCGACATGCTCGCGCGGCCGACGCGCGGCCTGCGTAGAATTAGTTGACACGGATCGTGCCACCCCAGACGCGCGCAAGGACGCTCGGATTAGTTCGACGTGCGGCGCGAGAGGCCCGTTCGGCAGAATGCGATGACAATATTGAAAAACCGACTGTTCTCTCAAAAATACGAAAGAGCGCGCGCGCAAGCTTTTTTGAAACTGATGGTGCCAAATGGTGTGATTGTATGTGTGTTGGGGCACTCGTTTTGACATCCCTACGAAATCAAAAGTGTTTTGAAAAATCCCGGCATGCGCGCGACGACGCGCGCGCGTGCACTTCGTCCCGTTTTTGCTACACAATGTTCTTGCGACAGCATGCGCGCAAGGGCGTTCGAACGAGTTCGGCATGCGCGCGCGAGAGGCACGCTTGGCAGCGAGTTATGAACATGTTCAAAAATCTATGGCTTTCTTAAGAATCTGCAAGAGCCCGAGCGCACTTGTTGTTAATCCATTTGACGAAGCCATGCGTTCTATAGATATATGTGGTGGACTCGATTTTGAAATCCTTACGGGGCCTGAGGTGTTTGAAAGATTTCGGCATGCACGCGCGACGACGCGCACGTCCCATTTGTTGAAACGGATTCTTGAATACTGCTGAAGGGGGGGGGGCGATACCGGCCTGCCTTGGATGGCATGAGTTCATATTTAAGATGGGCGATGGGGCAGAGTCGCTTATACATTGCACATCCCAAAGGCGACCCGATCAGGTGCGGGGGGTGGAGATCCCAATACTCCTTCCACAAAAAGGAGCACCGTTGTGAAGCAACCGATGCGGTGAATTCCATATTGTGCAATAGATGCTGTTCAATAAGGAGGTGCAACCTATGAGGTGCAAAACATACTGTGCGTACGTGTGGAACACACTGTGCTGTGCCACGCACTTGGTGCAATATATGGTGTACACTCTACGTTGTGCAATATACGTGGTGGCACACACTTGGTGCAAAACATTATATGCAGTCTACGTGGAACAAACTAAGGGGTGCAATCAATGTCGTGCAATCTACGTTGTGCAGAACATGCGATGCGATCTAGAAGGTAGGGTACATGTTCGGCACAATGTGAGGAACCATCTAAGTGGTGCAAACTATGTGGTGCTATCTATGTTGTGCTCTGTATATGTATATCCATGTAGTGTTTGTGTGTGCGCGCTATGTGGTGCGATGCGTGTCAATATATGTGTTGCAATCGATGCGGTGCAATATGTGTGGTGCAATATGTGTTGCGCAACCTATGTTGTACAATCAAAGGCGGCGACGAAGCAGCGACGGCGGCCACATATCCGCCAGAGCGGCAGACAGGTCAAGTTCCTTGAAATAGAACTGGGAAGCCCTAAGTGCAAGTGCCTGTTGGGGAATGTTATAAGAACGAAAACGCTGCTCCAATGGCATGGAGCATACGTCTTATACCAGGACACTATCAGCCGGACATGTCCTAAGAACATGTCGTGGAAGCACGACGGTGGGTCGAACGGCAAGCCAGGACGCTTCGCCACTGCTTGAATATCGCATCGCCGGGACATCCGAATCGGGCCAGGAACGAGCTGGCCAGGACCGAGATCGACTCGGACCAGCCGGTGCGATATGGAGCCTGGGCGGCGCGCCGCTGCCACGGAGAAGCTGCGATGGGAGCAGGAGTGGACCCAGGAGGATCGAAGGTGGGGTCTTGCCCCGGACGGCGCGAGAGAAGAGCAACAGGTGGATATTGGACGTATGCCTCCAGCATCCACCAAAGCCCCTGACAGCCAATCCCCACTCGAGGAACGAAGATCGTGCAGAAAGTGTTGAGATGTCTTGGGTCCTTCTCGGGACTCCAGGCGCTTCCGCAAGACTGCAGAAGACAGGCCTCACACGACCGATGGAAGACTGAACACATCCGAGGCCCTTTCTGGAGAGGGGGACGAGGAGGTGATGAGAGAGACGAAAGAGGGAGAATGGGAATGGAATGGTCAAATTGCAGAGAGAAGCATGAAGAAGGACGTGGAATTGAAGGAGGGGTAGGAGTGGGGAAATTCTGAGCGAGGAGCTGAATGGGAAAGAGAATGGGAGGAGGGGTAATTGGGGAAATGGTAAGGGGTACAACTAAGACGTCAGATTGTAGCTCGGACGAGGGCGAGCACAATTAGAGTCTTTGCGTAAGGAATCTCTGACTGAGGGACGAAGCCTTGGCAGGGGATGCCTACCGAACATACGAAGGAGATCCCTGATGAGTACCAGCATAAAGCCCCTTCCAAACGAGACGTGGGCGATGCTCTTTGGTTGACGTCGCGGGGGCGCCAAAATAGAAGAGGGAAGGCCGAGACGAGAGATGATGTGAGTGACGGACATATTAAGCGCCCTGCTGTTTCTTCTCCCCATACTCCTCCTCCCTCTCCTCATCCCTCCCTCCTCTGTTGATCACACGCGAATGCCTCGCCGCTCCCCGACACCCGCGCAGCCGAGGGGCGCTCCGTGAAGCCGAACTTCACGTCGCAGCTCGTGCCGAGGCGGAGCTGGGGCGTCGGAGGAGGGGGGGGGGGTGCGGGGGAGTCAGGGGGGGGGGGGCAGTGCCCTCCTCATCCTGCTCCTGCTCCTGCTCCTCCTCCTGGTCCTCCTCGTCCTCCTGCTCCACCGCCTCCTCCCCCTCCTCCGTGGCAGTTTTTTGCTCATTCATGCCATTCTGGCTCCAGGAGCCGCTGCTCTGATTGGGCGCCCGAGTTATCCGGGGTAACTCGGGTCCGGGGTAACTCGGGTTTGGATTCCCGAAATACGAACCCGAGTTAGCCCTGACCCGAGTTACCCCTGATAATTTTGGGGCTCTGGACGCCCGAATTATCCGGGGTAACTCGGGTCCGGGGTAACTCGGGCTTGGATCCCCGAAAAACGAACCCGAGTTAGCCCTGACCCGAGTTACCCCTGATGACTCGGGGCTCTGATCTGAGCTGCTCCGCCGGCGCGGCGCGCGGCCCTCGACGCGCGCTGCTGCTCTCCCCGCCGCTGCGATGCCGCGCGGGGCTGGCGTCGCCGTGGGGCATGGCGCGTCGACGGCCGCAGCCCCGACGGTGTGGAGGCCGCAGCAGCACCGATGTCATCCCTGCAGGCCGCGGCTGTGCCGGGCGGGCCTGTGCCGGCGCCCGCCGCGCCACGGAGGCGGCGCCAAAAGAGCCGCGGCGCCGACGGCCCTGCGGGGAGCGGCGCAGCGGCCGCCAGAGGCGTGGCTGCGGAACCGGTCGCTGTGGCGGGCGGGGCCCCGCTGGCCGCAGGCCCGGCCCGGCGCCGCGGCCAAGGGCGGCGCACGCGCCGCCCCGCCTGGGGAGGGCCTGGCATGCGGTGGGCGCGGCAGCCTATCCGTGCTCCGGCACCCGGGCGCTGGAGCGGGAGCGCTGTCCGCGGCGCGCCGCTGGGTGGCTGCGCGCTCAGAGGCGGAGGAGCAGTCCACGTCCCTGGACTTCGGTCGGGCATGTCTCCCTCCAGGGGGATTTCGCACGACGAATCAAACATACTCAGAACAAATATTCTCAAATATGCAGAAGATGCTCAACAATCATCCCCTGACCATGTTTTGACTATTTTTGAATATTCCCCCTGGAGGGACAGGCCCCGTTTAACAATGGACTGTTCCACGGTCCAGCAGGTGGATGGTGTGCCGCTTGTGGAGGCCGACTCGTCGGTGGCTGACGAGCTGGAAACGGACGTGGAGTTGGGCAGTGTCCCGGCAACGAGCGTCGCAGCAAACGCCATGAGAGCGCTTCCGGATACACCCAGTTACACCCAGTTACACCCAGTTACACCTAGTTACACCTAGTTGCACCTAGTTGCACCTAGTTGCACCTACTTACACCTACTTACGCCCAGTTACACCTAGTTACACCTAGTTACACCTAGTTACGCCCAGTTACACCTAGTTACACCAAGTTACACCTAGTTACACCTAGTTACCCTCAGTTTCCCTCAGCTACCCGAGTTAAGGCTTGACGCAATCAGTCTGAATCGGAGTGCAGGCATTCGAACCTGGAACCTCGGTCCTCGATCCTCGCCTCGGTCATCGATCCTATCCTCGGTCCTCGATCCTGGCTTCATTTTTTGGCAAGCTGCAGGTGTGCGCTGCGGAGCCCTCGGCCGCCCTCGGCGATGTTGTGGAGCCAGAGTGGTCCACCAGAGGTGGCATGCTTCCTGGGCATGGTCACGTTGAGCCGTTCGTCTTCTCCATGGTAGTTCTAGGGAAGACGCTCATGCAGAAGGTGTGCCTAGGGGTGGAGCTGGGGCTCATGGAGGTGGCAAGCTTCCTGGTAGTGCTGGCGAGGCCGTTCGTACAGATGCCGTTCGGGCAGAAGGCGTACCCGGTGGGGGAGCTGCTGACCAGAAGAGCAAGAAACATGCGAGGGCGAATCCGAATAATAATAGTAACAGGAACATGGTTTTAAACAATGGTAGTAATGATAGTATGAATGAGAAGAACAACACGCAAAGCACTACGAATCAGCGTGTGCGTTGTGACGGTGGCCCCGTGCCTTTTCCAGCCGCCCTGCTGATGGTGGCCGTGCGGATCAGCACGTGGGCGCCGCTCTTCTTCTTCTTCTTCTTCTTCTTCTTCTTCTTTTGTTATTCTTCCCTGTGGTGCTGGCGAAGCCGTGCGGGCAGACGGTGTACCTGTCGGTGGAGCTGCTGGTCGTGGCGGCGGCAGGCTTCCTGGTAGTGCTGGTGGAGTCCTTGGTGGTGGAGCTCCTGCTCATAGCGGTGGCAAGCTACCGGGCCAAGACAGTGTTGGTGAAACCGTCCGAGCAGAAAGTGTACCTAGAGGTGGAGCTGCCGCTCATGGCGGCGGCAAGCTTCGCGGTGGTGCTGGGGAAACCGTTCGTGCAGAAGGTGTCCCTGAGGGTGGAGCTCTTGCTCGTGGTGGTGGCGAATTACCTGGGCATTGTCGCGGCGGCATTGTCGACAACCGCCGCCAGTTCGTGGAGCTCATGCGCTAACACACCTCGAAGTCGGGGGACGACCTGACCAGCTTGAAGGAATACCTGAACCGCATGTAGGAAGGGCAATACGGCATCTACTACATCATCTGCACGAGCCTCGATGCCGTGTCTAGGTCGCCTGCTCTCTACGCCCTGCGGGCGTTGGGGATTGGAGGCTCGATACATCACCGACCCCCTCGAAGAGTACCCCGCGCTTCGGCTTCACTTTGACGTGAAGCAGCTGACGTCGTACAAAACGTCAGAGGTCAAGCCTGAGGTCGAGCACTGCGCGAGCCGCAGGCCTGCCCGAGGTGCCGAGCATGCCCCGCCACTCCAGGACCCTCGGCTGCCTGCGCCTGCTGCGGGACGCGGCTCGCGGTTCTCGGTCGGGGCCGTGTCTGGGGGCGGGGTGGCGGGGGCGCGCCGCGGGTGCTCGTGTGCGGCGCGAGAGCCTGCTCTTTTCCTTTGCGTGGACGGAACGGAACGGAACGGAAGTCTGCGTGCCAGCTCCGGTGACCAGAGCGATCCCCTAGAGGGCAGACCGTGCGCTGAGCATGTCGGAAAATGAATGTCGGCAACGATGAAGGGAAATTAGGACACACAAATAAATACACACAAATAAAAATAGTCCCCATATTTTCCCATATTTTCTGGGTTTTTGTCTTCCCCCCCAATTCCCATATTTTCCCATATTTTCCTGGGGATCGGCGATTCATTGTGTCTGTGTTTTTTTTCCCTCCTGAAACGAGCACACGCGGGAGCCTGCTCTTCCTCTGCGTGGCGGCGGGCTCTGGTGGGCTGCCGGGGGCTCGCCCGTCCGTCCCCGCGGGGCTGGCACGCTGCCCGCCCGGGCCTCGCTCGGGGGCCGCAGCTGGCGGAAGTGCCCGCAGGGGCGCGCTGGTCCTGCTCCTCCTCCTCGTCCTCCTCCTGCTCTTCCTCCTCCTCCTCCTCCTCCTGCTCCTCCTGCTCCTCCTGCTCCTCCTCCTCCTCCTGCTCCTCCTGCTCCTCCTGCTCCTCCTGCTTTCCCTCCTCCCCCCCCCCTCGTCGTCTCGGCGTGCCGTGGCGCGCTCAGAGCCTCCTGAGCGTGGGAGGCGCTTCGCCCCCACTCGCCTGGGGCTCTCGCACGCCTGTATCTTGTGCTCGCATGTCATGAAGTCGTCGTCGCGTGTCCGGATGCACCGGCGTTCTATGCTGCGTCCTGCATCCATCTCCTTCTTATTCCCCTCCTCCTCAGGCTGCTGCTTCTCCTCCTCCTCCTCCTTTTGCTCCTGTTCCTCCTCCTCCTCCTCCTCCTCCTGTGTATTATCTTGGCCAGACTCTGAGCGACGGGTATCCTGCTCCTCCTCCATGAATGTTTCCTTCTACGCAACTCCTCTTTGTCGCACCCCGAGGCTGGTCGAAAGGGCGGGCTGGGCGTTTCGCCGGAGACAACCTCATCATTTATGATCCTGAAGCTTGAGATTTGCAACAGTCTCACGGATGGAGGGCGGGTGGTTTTCAAAATGTGGTTCCCGCCTTCACGCCGCGCGCGAAGATTCGTCGTAGAAGTTGGCAACATATTCATGAATGGAGGGCGGGTCATTTTCAAAATGTGGCTCTCGCATGAGCGCCGCGCACATTTGTTGTAAGAGATTGCAGAGGTTTCAAGGATCCCCATGGCTCACAATCCAAAAACGGGTTTGGGCATGATGTCGGACTGTCAGGGCTCAACAGATGCATTGGCCCGTGGTGCTGAAGTCGAATAAATGGTGTTCTGGCACGATTATGATCGCCCAGACGAATCAGTGACGGTGATTTGCGGTGTTCAAATCCCAGGAACGGTGCTCTGGCACAGCTGCAAGATTTACAAGCCATTGTCTTTCAACGGAACACTTCCCTCTGACAGTGACCTTGTAGGAGCCCGTGAAAGAGGGAACTTGGAGGGAGGGCTGATTGCAATATCGTTAGTGCGTCTTGTGCTTACACTGGTCCTCCTCCCCCTCCTCCCTCTCACCCACCGATCCCACGGAGGGAGGGAACGACGACATGTAATCGGCGACACATCGCCGATAGATCGGCGACAGGCCCCTGATTGGCGATCAATGGGCAATCGGGGATCATCCCCATATGATCCTATCCCCCTCCAGCGTCGCCCCCCTGGTTTTCTGGCCATAGCTCGGCTCTCTGGCGGCCGTCCAGGACAAGGCAGCCACCCGCAGAAAACCCACGGCGAGGCGCAGCTGCTAGAGAGCATTTCGAGGCTGGAGAACGTTCAGGAACCGACGACAACGTCCGAAAACCAAACTCGAAATAAGGGGGGAGGAGTGGGACATCAGATCAGGGCAATAACACTGTCATGATATCAACTGTTGAGAACGGGCGGTTTCCGTAACATGCGGCGGCTCAGGGAGCACCACCGCCTCTGCAATCACCATCGCCCTTCGGACTGGGAGGGCAGGAGTGACGAGAGATACGGCGACACCAATACCCGACTTTGGAGGTTTTCGACTGTCAAGACAAAATTGAGCACAACTCTAGGATTGGGGGGCGTCCATGCTCGATAGGGGTTCGTTAGAATAGCTCCCTGAAGGTGTACCCCGGACTTTCCCAACTTTTCTGAGCAACCTGATTTCTTGAGGGCAACTCGGGGGGGGGGGGGCGAAACATCACTTGTGAAGGAGGGGCAAGACCCAAACATTCGACGTCTGGACCTGTTCAATACGAAACCCTTGGATGTCCCGACCCTTTCCCATGCCTATAGTTTTTCGTCCCGAATGCTGTCTTAATTGTCCCGGGGCCTGGCGAGGGCCCCCCCGGAGGCGGAAAACCGCCAAAACTTCCCGTCGTGATGTTTCACGACGACTACACGTCTGGGGAGGGACAGGAGGCAGGAGTAAAGAGGAGGGGTGAGGAGGAGGAGGAGCAGGAGGAGTTTGGAGGAGGAGAGGGATGAAGGTGGAGGATGGAGCAGGAGGAGGCAAGAAAAGGCAGGAGAAGGAGAACAGGAGGGGTGAGGATGACAGGAGCAGAGGACCTGGGGCAACCTCGTGGGGCGCAGGAGCGGCAGCAGAAGCCAGAACCAGCATCGGCAGCATCAGCAGCACGAGCGAGAGAGACAACGAGGCTGGACGGGGGGGGCGGACATGAGCATTCTAAAACGTGCTGTTGTGCTCTCTTGCCATCGCCGATATACTAAACTGACGACTCTGTCTGGTCTTCGGGCTCTTAGAAGAGCGCTACGCGTGGAGGCCCACTGCGTGCTGTCGCCTGACCATGCGCTCACCAGTGGCATCAGAGAACTAAAGCCGCCATGCGCTGGTACGCGTGCGAGGGGCAGCAATCTCTTTCTCTCTCTCTCTCTCTCTCTCTCGCGGCACGAGCGTGATTTTCCTCACGCTCTGGGCGGCTCTTGCTTCTCCGCCCCTCCTGCCCTCTCGCGCTCGGCCGAGGCCCACGTTTGCTTCTGGCGCGCCCCGCCCGCTGCTCTGACCTGCATCGGCCTCGTGCCCGCTTGTGCACGCGGGCTTAGAAACCAGTTCTCTATCTCTCTCTCTCCCTCTGTCTCCCTCCCTTGCCTCTTTGCCCGTCCCTCCCTCCCTCCGTCCCTTCCCTCTCCCTTCCCTCTCCCTCCCTCCCTCCCTTCCTTCTCCCTTACCTCTTCGCCCGTAATTACCCCTCGCTCCCCCTCTCCCCCTCCCTCTCTCCCTCTGCGCGCCCCTGCCCTCCCCTCGCTCTCTCGGCCTCCCCCCTTCCCCTCCCCCCCCTCCTCTTCCCCCCCCTCGCGCCCCGTCTCTCCTGTCTCTCCCCTCTCCATCTCCCCTCCCCCTCCCTCTCCCCTCACTCTCCCTCTCCCCTCCCCTTCGCCTTCCCTCTCCCCTCCCCTTCGCCTTCCCCTCGTCCTCGGCTCAGGGGGTCTCCCGAAGCCTCCGGAGGCCCTCCCCCCGAACTGCACAGCACAAGCTCCGATCTCGAACCTCAACCTCTCCCATCTCCAGGCGGAAGCTGAGACCGATCCCAACGGAGATGCCGCGCGCCCCGCCGCGCCTCCGTGAAGGCCGTGTTCTGCAGCTTGTACCTGCGCGTGGTTCTGCACTGGGGAGTGCCACCACCCGGCCCAAGGCCACCGACTTCTCCCGTTTCAGGCTCTTCCGCTCCCCGCTCTGACATCGGGGCGGACGGAAAGAGATGGATAGCAAAGATGGGATGAGGGGCAACGATCGGGGGGGGATAGGCATAGGGGGGGACGCATCGACCTGGAGTCGGCGATACATCGCCAAAAGATCGGCGATAGGCCCCCGACAGTGTGAATCCGCTCGTCCCTGGGCCGGGAACGCTCTCGGCGAGGCGCAGCCGCTGGAGAGCACCCCGAGGCTGGCACGACGCTGAGAACCTGCGAAAACGCCCGAACACCTCGCACCTCGAAACTCGAGCCCCCACCCTGTGCCCATCCCCCCCTATCGTTGCCCCATATGGCTTCGCGAAGCAACTCACGCAGCTGGTCTTCCCCGGCGCCTCCTGGCGCCGGAGAGGCGGCCACGTGCATCGAGGAGCGGCCATGTGCAGCAGCTCGCAGCCCCGCTTTCCCGATCCCCCCCCATCTCTGAAGGGGCCCAGGGAGGCACGCGTAGATGCACACAAATCCAAGGATCCCCGTATGACCCCCATATTTTATCGGTTTTCCTATGTCCCCCCACTACCAACATTTTCCTACATTTTCGTAGGGGATCGACGATTAATTGTGTCTGTGTTTTTTCCCCCTGGCCCTTCCCGCCTACGGCGTGAGTCGGGCGGGTGGTTATGGGGGGTGACCTGAATGGCGTGCCCTTTAGGGTCCTCTTCTTCACCCCCCGCTTGGGTCACCCCCCCTTACCACCCGCCTGAAAGGCGTGAGATCCAAGGGCTCGCGGCACCGTCCCCATCCTCGCAGATGCTAGCGAATCCACTCAGATGCGCGGCGCCTCGGAGGCACCCGAGTCGTACGGCCGAACCCCCGCGAGATGTTGCAGCCTGCAAGGCGGAGGTCTCTGCGACACAAGCGGCTATAGACCCCAATCGAGCTCAGCGCTGTCCAAAAGCTGCTTGGGCCAGATGGCTACGAGGTCTCTTTGACAGACATCGTTGCCCCGTTGCTCCTCGGAAGGGGCGGGAGCACCAGTTGGAGGGGGAATCGGGAAAGAAAGCGAAGGGCGGAAGGGAAGGGGAGGTGGTATTCCTCCTCCTAGCTTCCACTCGCTGTCAGGGGCGCCGACGGCCTGAAACATCCTCTTCCCGCCAAGGCGGCCGCAACTGCAATGGCCCGCAGCACAACGGTCCTGTAGTGGCACACTGGAGCCACACAGATGAGCGCATGCCTGGCCCGCAGGACCTCTTCTGCAGCGAACCCTGCATCATAAGGGGCTTGGCCGCCGCCAATAACGAATGCGAAATTGCAGGGGACTGGGATCTCGCGATATTAACACCTACACTGGAGGGACACGTAAAACTGCATGAGCAGAAACTTCCGGAACTCCGCGCTGCTTTATTGGATAGGCTCCAGACCGTTCTTCCCGGCGCGCGGAGCGCGCCAACCAGGGGCGAAGCCAAAGGCGCCGCAAAGTGGGCCCAACGCTGATCCAAGACATCCGCGCGGACCTCTGAACATGTATGCGTACGTGTTTCCTCATCTGTCATCCGAACTGAGGGTGGCGGGACGCAACATCAGACGCAATAGCCTGGCTTAAACTCGGGATTAAAGGCAAATAAAACGACTAAGCGGCAGTAGTCAAGATTACAAAGGATGATGCCAGATTTGGCTGGGCTACGACCACGGATACACCAAGGCCGATGCTGAATCTGGCCTCCCAAGTTCTGCACCCTAGAGAAAAGGTGCCGGAGCCGCTGCTCCCTAGACCCCTTCGGGGGTGTACTTGCACTTCGACGAGGACCTCGAGGCGAATCGGGGCGTGACAGCGAGGGAAATGACCATCTACCAAACCCCCCCAACCCAACCACAAGACCCGAATTTGACCCGAATTTCGGGTTGGGGGGGGTACGGGTTCCACGTGTTTTTTCGATGCTCCCCGCCCCCCCCACTGGAAATGGAGGGCAAATCGTGGCCTTCGGGTATTCTCCACCACCTCCTCTTCCTTCTTCCTCCTCCCTGTCGTCGTCGTCGCTGTCTGCCACATTACTCGTTTCCTGCCCCGCGCTCCCCTTTGAACCTGCGATGGTTCGCTAATACTCTTCGCGCCCCCTTGGATGCCAGAGCCATCTGACCCCCCCCCCAGAAGCCCCCCGAGCCCTCAGGGGCGCCCGATGCTCTTTGCACCCCACAGAATTCCTCGCGCCACGCGCCAAACTCCTCACAGAGGAATTGGAGGAGGAGTATCTAATACCCCGCGGCCCAGAGCCCCCCTCTACCACAGCACCGCAGCCCTGAGAAGGAGCAAGGCGAGGGGAAGGAGAAGAGAGGGGAGGCCCAGGCACGCTCAGCGCGGGCCAGAGACCTCGAGCTTGACCGTGCCTACGCACTGCTGGCGGGAGCGCCGCGGGCGCTGCGGTCATCAGCCCGCTCGCCCCCAGCAGCCGCTCTCGATCGAGTGTACCCCCGCCACGAACGAATACCCGCCCCTTGTGAAGCCTTCCTGCACATCGTGATGGCGCCCGCGAAGATGACGCCACCCAGGCCACGGTGAGCGCCACCACCAGCCGCGAGCTGCGACCCCGACTGGCCGTTAGGCGTGTGGACGTAGCACCGTGTGCAGCAGCATAGAGGCTTGTGCAGGAGCACAAGCGATAGGAAACGCAGCACCGTGTGCAGCAGCATAGAGGCTTGTGGACGTGAAAAATCCCAGGGTAGTGCTCCGTCCTGACCTCCCGTGGCTGACAGCGCGATAAAATGGGTAGAGCACGGCGGCTGATGAGCTCCACCATCGTCTGCCGCCGCCGAGAGTGGAACGGCAGCATGGGGAAGGTGAGCTCATGCACGCTCGTGTCGTCCAGGGAGGGCCGCCGCGCCTCAGGCTGCACTGCTGCTCTGCTCCCTGTCTCCTCGAGCGGCTTGACGCCTCGTCACGATAGGCGCCTCGAGTCCAACCTCAGGCAACACCAAGGCCCCGTCGCCATCGCGGCCGACCATGGCGTGTCACGCAGCGCAAGCAGCGCCCTCGCCACCGACGGGGACTGGGAGGGGAACGGCGGGACGCAAGGAGGGGGCGCGAGCCTCCCTGCCAACCAGGCCGAGTCCAGCATCCGCAACCGCCTCGTTCGGTCCGTCCTTCCTCGCGCGAAGCGCAGGACGAGGGCGGCCTCGCCGCATCGCGAAGCTCGGCCACTCCACCACCCACCTGGGGACAATGTCGCTGGCCACTCCTCCCACCACCTGGGCCGCCAGCGTGACACTGGTCTGCGGAGCAGGCGCCCGTCCGTCCCCCCACCACCTGGGACGGGCATTGGAGGAAGAGGAGGAGGAGGAGGAGGAGGAGGAGGAGGAGGAAGAGGAGGAGGAGGAGGATGAAGAGGATGAGGAGGAGGAGGATTATGAGGAAGAAGAGGAGAGCTATCACTGGTGCGTGCCCACGCACAAACCCGACGACAAATCAAATGACCATCCCTGCGACTCTCGACATACCTGCGGTCGTTGCGATGGACCGTGGCGCGTTAGTCCAATGAGGCTGGAGGGTTGGCAGCTTCTCTTTCCCATGACGATCGTCACCACGACCTCGTGTCGTTCACATCGTTCGCAGAGAAGGAGAACTTCGACGATGGTGAAGGAAGTTCCCAGGGTTCGACATTCTGGCATTGCTTGTCCATCGGGTTTTCAGGGCTCTGGGCTGTTGGGTGGTGCCATACACGTACTGGGGGGTCTGCGGTCTTCCTTCTGTTCGTCCAATGTCCTGCCCCCCCTCCCCCCCTCACTCGTGGATAAAAACATACCGTATCCGTGGTCTCGCAGGCCGGGTCCCTGGGCTGCGACCCCGCGGATACGGGGCGTTGCTTCGCGGATGCCCCGCGCGGATATCCGCGCGATCGCGCCCATAACACAGGCGTGATTGGCCGATCGATGTGTTCTGTCTGAGAACAGCGTTCCAGATGTTATTTCTGGTACCGATGTAGCAAAATGGCCTTGACACTGCGATCACCACGTGGCGCGTTGACACCGCATATCCCGCAACGCACGCTAATGCAACAACCTACGCATGCACCGCACTGCACGTGTACAGCACGATGACGCGGTGCATGGCGTTGCCCTTGTACACCGCAACGCCTGTGTACACAACTGCGAACGCGCACGCCGCAACGCCTCTGCACAACACAACTGTGGCCACACGGGCACGCCCCGCACGCACACTTCAGCAACCGCGCTTACCGCTGCGACTGGCGCCTGCGTGCGCCACATGGTATATGTATACCACACAACCCGCGTACATTTCAAGGGTCCCGACAATGCCAATAAACCGAAATTCGTGGCCGCGGGGTGGGGAGGCGCGAACGTCAACTTGAACATGCAAAGTTGTTGTGGCCAGTGTTTTTTGGTCGCCTGGGTACAACTCAAGCGAGTTGTTCGAGATGCGTGCGGCCGCGGGGACGAAGATCCCCCCAGAGGAGAAGGGCCGTTTGGCGCGTCGAGTTCACTTGCGCCGCGGCTTCATCCAATAAGGCCTTGGCCCAAAGAGCCCCCGAGAGGGTTCCGACGCGCCTCGACACGGCCCTGGGGGCGGCCGAACCAAAAAACGCCAAAGACTGCCCAATGAGGTTCCCGAGAGGGGGACCACCAACTGACACCTCGAGCGTTCCCCACCAAGACGCCCCCAGGAGGCCCAAAAAGAACCCAAGAAACCCTTGGACAGGCCCAGCATTAACCCAAGAACGCGCGAAACAGGGCACCAAGAGGCTCAAATCCCTCCCTGCTTGCCCCCCGCATCTGCCCGTCGTCCTCCCCGTCCTCCTCCTCCTCCTCCTCGTCGTCCTCGTCCGCGTCCTCGTTCCCGTCCTCCTCCTCCTTTTCCTCCTCTTCCTCCTCCTCCTCCTTCTCCTCCTCCTCCCCCTCCTCCTACTCCTCCTCCTCCTCCTCCTCCTCCTCCTCCTCCTCCTCCTCCTCCTCCTCCTCCCCAGCCCCTCTTTTTTCTAGCGTCCAGGGTCGGCGGCATCAGCCGCAAATCTTGCCCAGTAAACTGGTCACTGCGTGGTCACAAGGTGGCCACTCCGCCGTGGTCGGGGCGATGGTCGACGATCACCAGAGCATCGCTCGCCACGTAGTAGCCCACGAGAAAAAGCAAACTATGCGCACCCGTGTGCCTGCGTACGAATGCAACCTTGAGCCTGTGTGCGCTGCCAGCATGTACATCACAGTGCCCGCGAACACCACAAAGCCCGCGCACATCTCCAGGTACCCGACGGCTTCAAACTTCAACAACACATGGCCGCCGCCAGCGTATCAAATTATAGATGCAAATTGTTCGTAAGTGTGTTTTTTGGTCTGGCCACGGGCACGGCCCCTATCCAGAGTGCCAGACACCACCACGCGCCGTCCGCCGAAGCCGGCGCGTGCGCTATGCACACCGAGCTGCTTGTCTCTTCCAATGATAGTGCGACGCCGTGCCTGTGCGGGTGCCACAACAGCCTGCGCGCGCCACGCGCGTGTACACACCACAAGCACAATTCTGCGCACACTGCAAACACGTTGCGCGCACTTCGAACAGCATACCAGTGCGCTAAGCAACAGGCGTTGCTGCAACGGGGGTGGGTTGGGCGGCGCTCGTTATGTTATCTACAGGGTGGGTGGGTTGGAGGCCACAAAATGCGCGTTATGTGTTCGAGTAACAGAAACTTGAGAGATCGAACCCACACCGCGCAGGAACGATACCTCGCGGGTCCTCTAGCCTCCCGGCGGGGGGGCGGGGGCGCGCTTCAGCTGCCCGTAGGCGAAACCATCGCTGGAGCCATCCACGAACAGCTGGCAGAGGATGTCCGCCTGCCCGGCCGCGCGGAGCCAGGTGCCTCGTACGCCCCGCGGCGCCTAGGATAGCACACGTCTTGCCTTATTGCACGTTGCAATAAATGTGTATGTATGCGCACGTACTAACTAGAGTGGGACTCAACTACACATACCCGCATGATGAGCATTGGCACCTTACCCATGGATACCTATAACGATTTACCGTACATTATAAGATTCACAATGGTAGAGACAGAGAGATATATAACATACTATGTGTGTTCACCCATTGTTCGATCAAGTTTGTCTGCATTTCTGTATGTTATGTATGTATGCGTTTACGCATGTATGTGTGTATGCATGTAGACATGCATGCATGTAATCATGTGTGTATGGGTAGATGCATGCATGTATGCCTTTTATGTATATGTGTATGAATGCATGCATTTATGCACGCATGTGCGTATGTATGTATGTCTACATGCAGGCATACATGCATGCATACATGTATGTATGTATGTATGTGCGTGCATATGTGTATGCATGCACGCATGTATGTGTACATGTGTGTGTATGTGTGCATGCGTGCATGTATGCGTGGATGCGTGCGTGCGTGCGTACGTGCGTGCAGGTATGTGTGAGTATGTATGTTTGTATGTGGGTGTGCATGTATGTATGTATGTATGCATGCATGCATGTGTGTATGTGTGTATGTATGTATGCACATGTGTAAAACATCATGTATGTATGAAAGTATGACTGTACAATTGCTCGTAGGTGTACATGCACGTGTGTGTATGCGTATGTGTGTATGCATGTAGAAATGTGTATACGTCTGCATGTCTGTATGTGTATATGCATGTTTGGATGCATGTATGTCTGTATGTATGTATGTATAGGTGTGCTCATGCATATGTGTTTAAGTATGTGCATGCATGTATGTAGTTATGTGTATGTACGTGGTTCTACATATACATATACATGTACATGTTACAGTATGCACGCATACATGAATGCATGCATGCAGGTATGAATAGATGGTTGTATGGTTTGAGGGTTGTATGTATATATGTATGTATGAATTTATGTATATATGTATGTATGTATGCATGCATGTATGCATGTATGTATGTATGTATGTATGTGTGTATGTATGTATGTATGTATGTATGTATGTATGTATGCATGAATGCATGCATGTATGTATGTATGTATGTATGTATGTGTGTTCATGTATGTATGTATGCGTGTACGTGTGTATGTATGTATGCATGCATTTATGCATGTCTGTAGTATGCACATATATATATAAACACATATATATGTATATATCAATATAGATAAATCCCTCTCTCTCTTGTCTCTCCTGGTAAGGCGTCGTGTTGCGCGCAGGCAGTCCCCTCTGGATAGTCCCAACTGGCCTCTACAGGCCGTCCTGAGCAATTCAGGGCGGTCTCCGCACCCTGGAGGCCGTTCCGGCGGCGCCCATGGAACGCTCCACGCTCCAGGGCTGGGATGTTGAGACCGGCGTGGACTACTCGTGGGACTTGTTGAGGCCCGCCCGGACTACCAGGGGAGCTATCTGCACGCAACTCGAGCTCTTTACCTCCCTGTGTGGGCTTCTACCTCAGAAGGCGTCAAAAGAATTGTACCTCAGAATGCGTCCTTGAGCTTGTACTTCGGAAGGCGTCTTTGGGCGTGTACCTCCTTTGATTTCCCCTTTGGGTTTTTACCTCAGCAAAAGAAATAGTCGCGGACCGAAATCCACGCGAGCGCTGCGGTTTGAAGGTTGGGGTCGGGAGGTCAGGGAGCCCACCGCGCTGGCCACGGTTGGATGTTGGAAATTGTGGATTCACTTCTTTGTCCTCGCTGCTCCGCCTCATCTCGCTCTTCCTCCTGCCCCTTCCCCCCCCTTCCCGCTCCTCCTCCTCGTCCCTTTATTGATGGCGCCGGATGCCTGCCGTCTCCGCTCAACCCCCGCGAAGAAGGCGAATCATAGAAAACGCGACGGGGAGGGAGCTGTACGGGGAGATAGAGTGGCGAGGAGGAGGGCCCTGTCAGCCTGGCGTTGATGTTCGCAACGGGTGGTTTTACCTTGTTTCGGCCCCTGGCATCCTCAGAGCTGGATCCAGCTTTGTACCTGTCCAGCGGGGGGAAGGGATGAGCCAACTCGCACAATACCAGGTCATGCAATACACTGTGGTGGTGACCCCGCAGTCCCTGCATGAATCTATAGTTTCGCGCGGACTCTGAAGAAATAGCTTTACGGTGTGTACTTGCTGACTGGCAGCATCATGAATAGCCCTGTGGCGTGACACTGTCTGTGTAGGTCGTACAATCGGAATCTGCCGACCCCCTGTGGGTCCTGCAGGCTGAAAAGAACACGGTGCATTGGCTACTGCGTTTTCGTTACTGGGACGCACGGGGCTGACTGTATAACAATCGTGTCCCGCTCGCGTGTCTGAATTCCCCATGAATCCGTGACACATCATCTTCCTCACCCTCCTCCTCCCGCGACTCCCCCTGCCCCACTCCCCCCTCCGCCCTCTACCTCCCCCCATCCATTCCATAGAACGTTCGCATCTCCGGTACCTCACACAAACTCCTGTTCGCTCCGCCCCATTTCTCCGCCCCTCTTCTTGCCTCATCCCTTCCTCCCGCTTCTCTCTCCTCCACACCCTCCATCACCGTCCCTCCTCCCCCCCTTCCTCATCCTCCCTCCCGCCTCTATCCTCTCTCTTTCTCCCTCTTTCCTTCTCTGCCACCTCCTCCTCCTCCTCCTTGTTCCCCTTTCGTCCTCCCTGCTCCTCCCGTTCCCCCTCCCTAATCATACTTACCTTCATCCCGCCTCATGCCTCCATCTTCCCTTCTCCTCCTCCTGCTCCCCCTCATCCTCATGCCTCCCCCCTTCCTCCTCCCCCATTTCTCCATCCCCTCCCCTCCCTCGTTTGGGCGTGGGGGTGGGAGGCGTACGCGTAACGCTCCTACCTCATAGACCACCATGCGGGTGATATATGGCTTTGGGGAGGGGGACGCTACCATTGACACGTGTTGGACGTACTCCAACTCACGAGATTACACATATCGGAACATGAATACGAATGTTCGTCTGCCAAGCTATGCATCTAAACCTGTCTACGCAACCATCTATCTACCCCTCTCACCGCCACTCCATGTATCTCCATCTATCTCTCTCTCTCTAGAAGTGTATCACACTCTATCTGTGAATCTAGCATCTACCAACCAGTTTGAACATCAATCGGTCTGCCTACCGCTCGCATTATCGGAACAACCATCACGACACCCCTCGGGGCAACTGTCTCTCTGTCCGTCGATCTACCCGTCGATCAATGTACAGATATGTATATATATGTATATATATGTATATCTGTATGTCTACATCTTCTAAATCACTGTCTCTCCACGCACTCCGCGCAGGATAACCATTGGAATAACCGTCGGGACAACCATCTGGAAAATCGTCGGGACCAACGTCGGGACCACCGTCGAGACAACAGTTGGGACAGCCATCGGGACAGTCATCGGGGCAACTGGCATCCACCAACGGGGCTGGAGCGACCCACTTTGGCCTGACTTGTGACCTCCACCCGAGCTTGCACGGCTTCGCCTCGCCTCGCCTCGCCCGCACGTTGAGTCAAACACGACAGGAGCCGAAACCGGGATCGCCTTCTCGGTTGGGCGGATCCGCGTCACATCGATCTTACCCATCGGTCGGAATAAGTAGGTAGAAACATGAAGTAGGAAGGCTTTGAAAATAGATTGGGTGGTCGCCCGCCCCCGAAAAAAGGGCGGAAAGGGTGAAGTCACTCAATCATTGAAGTAGGAAGGCTCTGAACTCTGAAACTAGATTGGAATCTGGGACTCCCAAAACACCTACTTTTCAACGGCCGAAGGGTACCCTCAACCTCCTCTTGAACCGCGCCGCCGACGCCGTTCCACACGAACTCTGGGGTGGTGCAAGCCCACGGTACGCACGGGGCACGCCACTGACGGCTCAAATTGCACCCGAAAAACATCTGGGCGCGTCTTCCCCGTCGGGGACCGACCGGGCGATTGCGCTCAAGTGCCCCCCCCCCCTCGTTGAGGGCATCACGACTTCTGCTGTCCCTGGGCTCGCAATGGAATGCCCACGATCTGCTCCAGATGTCCCTGGCGATCCCTGGACTTACCTCGCTCTGTCTGACGATGCAGTGATGCGTCTCGATGTACACCCTGCGAAATGCTTAAGAAATCATGGGTTAAGAAATTGATAGTCTCAGAACTTGAATAAAAAACCCAACATGTCTGTTAACATCTTAAGATTTACATTAAAACGTTAAGAATAATCGAGACTCTGGCCGAAAACTTAAGTTTTCTTAAGCATCGCCTAAGGTGTATCTGCTGGACTTCTCTCGATGTCCGAGGCGTGGCTCCCGCAGGTCGACTGGTGAGAAGTCATGGCGCCCTCGCGGGCCCCACCCGTCCGCCGGTCCTGCCGACTCGGGGGATCGGAGCAGGGGCGCGCTTTGAAGCGAGCGACTCGAGGAAGTATGAAGGGGCCCCAGGACACACAAACAAATACACACAAACAAAAAGATTCCCCATAGTTTCCCATATTTTCTGGGTTTCTGTCTTCCCCCCCATTTCCCATATTTTCCCATATTTTCTAGGGAATCGAGGATTAATTGTGTCTGTGTGTTTCTTTTCCTCCTGAAAGTATCCCACTCTCTGTGACGAGACCACTCTCTGTGACGAGACCAGGACGCCTGGGGACTGGGTTCCCTCCAGTCTGGGCAGCAAGCCGCTGCGCCACTATCGATCTGGAAGAGTCGGTCGGAGTACGTGGATGCTTTCTCTGTCAGCCATTGCGGATTCCACAGCTCTCCTCTGGGGCACCCGAAACCTTGGAGAAGTCTGTTCTTCGGCGAAGCTTGAGAGACAACCCGCAAGCAGAAATATCGAAAGCGCAGGCTTGATGAACTGAGCAAGAGGCCCACACCTCCCTCCTGGTGCAAGATGTCCGTTAAATACAAGAATGTAAGGGGAACGGTTCACCAAACAATTTCCGAATCTTCGGCTTCTGGATCGCTTCGGCTGCGCCTGACCCGTCGACCGTCCAAGCGCGCACCCGACGAGGGTGGGAGGGAACGGTTACAGAGTAAGTTCCCGGCCAGGGGCCGCTTTCCTAATCATCATCATGAGCTCTGCCGCGTGAACACGACCCCCAGTTGACCCACCAGCCATTTGGACTAAACTGGCCCAGCATCTAGCAATGTCTTTCCTCTTCCAAGAGCCTCTTCCATTCCGAGGCGTTTATTTCACCCCCTCTCCCTTCCTGAGGTTTTCTTTCTGGGGCGGGTCGAGATCGGTCAGGGCGCCCAAGATGGCTGCAAGAGACCTCCGTCGCTCCAAGATGGCCTCGAAGATGACTTCCAGGCCAAGATGGCTCAAGATAGCCGACGATGGTTCAAGATAGCTTCCCACATACTTCCAAGAGGCCCGACGAGGGCCGTAAGACAGTTCCAGATGATCTCCGGGCCCTTTTAGGGACCACCCAAGATGCCCAAATCCGTTTTAAACAATTGAAGGAAACTGATTGAAGCGTGTCTTCTCGCCTTGTCGCTTCCGATGCGCCCTTGAGGCCTCAAGATGGCCCCAGGATGGCCTAAGAGAGGCCCAAGAGGGAACCAAGAGGGACCCAAGAGGCCCCCCAGACGGCCCCAAGGACGCACACGAGCGCCCCAAGGGGG